CAAAAATATTTCTTGAAAAACAATATTTTCTGGAACTTTTAAACAAGTTATTGATTGCTATGGAACCAACAACTTAAAATCAGGTTTTAGAAACTGTGGCATTAATCCAGTAAATGTCAATCAACTTCTCACACAATTTAGAGAGAGAGAATCTACAATAAAGAATTTTTAAAAGACAACTTTACAAAGTACTTCTATTAGACTTTCATTCTCCTGAAGTTTATTTAGTTAGTTTATTTTTTATCTAAAAGATATATAATTGTCTACATTAACAGAATCTTTATGTTTTTAGTTTTTAATATGGCTGTGTTTCTTTTGTTGTGTTTAATTTTTTATTAACCAAAACAATAGTAAATCTGATTTTATTAATCTTTTATTTATTTTTATTCGTCTTCAAACTCTTGTTTGAATTTCTTTAAACAGTATGATAAAAAGAGTTTAAATAGCAAATTCATAAAAACGGTAAAGTTTTTTTCAAATTTTATAAGGATGTGCAAAGTTAGCCAAAACCCCGGTTATCTAGGACATAATTGAGGAGCAAACATGCAAATAGTGTTTTATCACAAAAATGAAAATAATAATCTATGGCAGTAAATAGTTTCGTTTTTATAAATTTCATAATATAACGCAGAGATTTTTTTATGTTTTGCATGCTGTACATGTTTTACATGTACATTGAATGAAAATCTCTGCATTATATTATGAAATTTATAAAAGCGAAACTATTTACTGCCATAGATTATCTTTTTTATTTTTGTGACAAAACACTATTTAGAAACCCTTAATTTAGAAACCCATGAAAAATACTTCTTTATTGGTTAAAAAAAAAAATTTCTAATGATAACAATTTTTAGTCTACAGAAAATTTTTGTTTTTATAAATATTAGAGAAGTTTAAAACTAATTTTTAGAAACACAAATCAAAAAATTTCAAACTTTTGCGCAAAGTTACCCAAAGTTACAGTATATCCTTAAACTATTTTTTGATTAAACAGTAAAATAATTTATTTTTTAAAATTTAAATTTTTTATAGTTTAATTTTTGTTTTAATGTTTACAGTTATCACTGGTTTAACGGTTGCAACAATGTGTCTGCTTTTTCAAAAAACAAAAAATAATTACGCCTTTACACAAAATATTTAACTACTCAAAATGTTTACGATTTAAATAGAGCTTTGTTCCTCACTCTTTTCACTCATCTTCTAAATCTGATATTGTCACTATAGCTAAATCTATGTTTGAATTTCAGAAAATTATCCTCGCTCCGTCACTGCAGGGGTGAATCTAGGGTAAGTCTAATACGTCTGTAGACCTTCCCAAAAATACAAAAAATAAAATTGAATTTAAAAAAATAAGTTTTATTACAATATTTTAATACTAAAATATAGCTGCTTTTTGTTTAGTAAAAAAACATTGCTTTTTATTTAGTGCGATTTTTGAGGTTATTAATATAAAAATATATTTCTCAACTGAAGGTTAAAGTAATAATAAATAGATAATATTTTATTAGATGGATCAATGCACGTTCCCAAATTTATTATATTAAACGATAAAAAACGTTCTTATCAGGGGCGGATGCAACTAACTTCCAGACATGGAGCGAACTCAAAACTTTTATATGTTTATAGTTATATCAAATAAAGATACTTTGCATAAAATTGAGATGATAGGAGCCTGGGAACAAAAAAGCCCCACAATTTTTGCTACACCTGCCCCAAACGTGAGAGCAACAAGTTGATAAAATATTTTTTTTACTATTCTTAACTAAATCTATATTCATCGAGAAATTTTAAAATTCATACAATAATCTCTTAACGTTCAAAAGTTATAGCCACATAAAGTTTGAATCCCCTTAATTTGAGGGGGTTACAAATTTTATAAGACCATTATTATTGAACGCTAAAAGATTGTTTTACAAAATTAAAAATTTCTTGATGAATATAGATTTAGTTAAGAAAAGTAAAATACTTATTTTATCAACTTGTTGCTCTCACGTTTGGGGCAGGTGTAGCAAAAACTTTGGGGCTTTTTTGTTCCCAGGCTCCTATCATCTCAATTTTTTGCAAAGTATCCATATTTGATATAATTATAAACATATAAAAGTTTCGAGTTCGCTCCATGTCTGGAAGTTAGTTATTTTAAACTTCAAAAAATTCTGTATCCGCCCCTGCTTATTGTTTAATATAATAAATTTTTATTTTATTTGTTAAAAAAGCAAGTTAGAAATCTCTTTACTTGGAACAATTTATGGACGTCCTCATAGTAGTGCACCCTAATTAAAATCTTAGTAAAATTCCTTTGTTTTTCGATAATCAGGAGGTGAAATAAGTTATAATAATTAATAAGTGTCAAAATACACCAAAGCATGTCCCCAACATTATTTTTTCCTATGATTTGTTTTATATTTAATTTGGTTTTCAATCATTAATTTTTAAGTATATAATTTTATATATAGAAAAACACTGTAGGAGATTACTTAACATTTACACCCTGAAAAATAAAAGGTTTATTGATGATAATTAAAATGTCGCTTATATAAATCTCAGTTTAAACTGTTATTTATTCATGAAGTATATGCTACAAAATGACAAAACAAAACTAATCTCTTTGAAAGGTATAATACAAAAAAATATCATTTCTTGATAAAATTTCTTGTAAAGATAAGAATCTTGTTGACTCTAGTAAAGTATTTAGTTTTCTTAAAAAGTGTTTGCAACATTTCTGTGTTAAAGTTGGTGATAACATTCAAGATCAACTTAGTTATTCATTGATAACTTTCAAGATCAACAAAGATATATAAAAAAAGTACTTCTCGCATATCGAAGAAATCATATCGTCAAAAAATAAGTACTTCTCGCATATCTAAGACATCACATCGTCAAAGCTTTTGGAGAAGTTATTACTAATACAATATTGAAAAAAAAAGTTTTTAATTTTAAACATCTTTCTGTTTTTCTTGATAAATCTTCTGACAGTTAAAATAAAAAACAACAATTATTAATTATATGATT